CTCCCCGGGCAAACAGAGCGAGAACCCTCTGTCCTCAAATAAAAAGAAAAAGATATAAAAATTTTAAAAAGCACAAACGGTGACCGCGAGCCCTGGGGTTGCCTGGCATCGCGTTCACTGTCCTGAGTTGATGCACCTGCCTGAGGACTCCTTGTTTGGAGGGGAAAAACCAGTAGCTGCCGTGGTTCGAACCTCACGTCCCAGAAAGGGAGGAACATGCGCAGCAGTGAGGGTTCTCCCTGGCACCCAGTCCTGCTGCCAAAATCTGTAGAAAATGATACTGGCCCCAAGCGTGCTCCCCACGCCTGCATGCCTAGCACTCAGTAGGCCCGAGGTGGGCACGATTAAGCCCATAGGTCAGAAGTTCGAAACCAGCCCCCCTGAAAAAAAAAGCAAAGAAAAAAAATAAAGCGAAGAAACCCCCCCGTTTCCCCCTTTCCCTTTTCACTTCTACAATAGAAGAGAAATTATGCCCAAAAGCTTAATATATTTACAAGAACAAAAAAAAAATTAGCCGGCAAAATGGTTTTTTGTTCGCACGCCTGTAGTCCCCCCCAAGCCACTTTTGGGAGGGCTTGAAAAAAAAAAAAAAAAAAAAAAAGGCAAGGAGGACATACCCAGGGGGTTCTTTTTCCCCTGAGGTTTTGCCCTTGTGAGCTTGAAGGCTTGAACCGCCCCAACGGGCCAACTCCGTAAAGCCCCCCTTGGCCAAACAGAAGTTGAACAAAGACTTCCTCAAAAGAAAAAACAAAAACAGAACAAAAAAAAAAAACCCGCAGAACGGCGAATTAACGGCCCACAATTCAATTGCAAAAAGGGAAAAACTTGCACTGGGGAAATTTGGGGTTTTTCGGTTATTTTTGTTGTTTTTTTTCGTTAAAAAGGTTTTTTTTTTAAAACAAAACACCAATTTTTAAAATCCCAAGCGGCTTTTCCCCGCCTTCCAAAATGTCAAAAAGGCCTTTAAAAAAAGGTAAAAAGGGTCAACCAGGAACCACCCAGCAAGGGACTAAAAATAAAACCACCGCTGTTCCGTTCCCAATTGTTGCCCGTCTGGGGGCAAAGCTCCCCCGAAAATTCGCCCACGGCTTGGGCCTCCCCTACCCCTCCCACAACTGAAAGAAAAACACGCAAGCAGAAGGTAACAAGGGGGAAAAGTACAAAAAGGGAAAATTAGCAGTCAAAAACTTATTTTAATACCCCCGCCCAAGGGAAGGAAACCACCAACTTTGTCAACAATAAGGCCCAAGGGGGTTACTTAACGGTTCTGGTAAAACCACAGAAAAAAACAAATTCTGCCAAATTCCAAAAGCCCCCTCTTCTTATTTTTCTTATCTTTTTGTTTAATTAGTTTTTTTGAGACCAGAGTCTCATCCCTTGTTTTGATGCCCG